GAAGGCATAAGGGGAACCCAAGATTTACCTGTAAGGAAGTAAAAGGTCACTGTGGAGGATACACTGTGAAGAATGCATGGTAGCTCTGGTGGTGTGTTTTGGTTAAGGCATTTGGCTGCTAACCAAAAGGCTGGTAGTTCAAACCCACTAGTGGTTCCACAGGATAAAGATGAGGCAGTCTGCTTCTGTAAAGATTTACAGTGTTGGAAACCCTATCAGGCAATTCTTCTCTGTCCTCTAGGGTTGCTATGAGTCAGAATCGACTCGACGGCTATAGGTTTGGTTTTATCGTGGACAATCCTTCTGAAATATATGCAATGTGAGCAGGGGCAACACCTTCCCATATCTAAAGGAAGGAAAGTCCTCATAGATGGGAAATGAGAATCAAGATAAACTTGAATGGATAGGACAGCTTTAGAGAAGGCATAAAATGCACAGAATTTTATTGCAACTCCAGTTAGAGAACATGGTACAGGAAGAAGAAATACATTTGTAAAAAGAAATGAACTTTCTCCTGATCAGCTAAACACAATGGGGCTCACCTGGCCTAGAGAAGAGGAGGGTGAGTTTTCCTCTCACCTTCAGATTTCATCAATTTTGGATTATCTTATGTATCTACTCCGTATTCACTGACTTTGTTATTAAAAGACAGAAAACCTTTTTTTCAATGAGAATTCTGGGGTAGACCTTTGGCAAAGACCAGAAACCACTGCCATACTTCTTTAAAGAAGGGGAGCAGAAGGGGCTAGCAGTTTACTGCTGCAGCCCCTGCAAGGAACAGTCTATGCATTTCTATTCCATTTCTCTTCCAGAAGCCTCTGCCACCTCACAGCCACCTGCAGGCTGCACAATGAAGCTCTTCAGATGATTACGAAGAACTTCCAACTCCTGCTCCCTCACCCCAGGCCCTCTGTGATCTCTAGACCCTACACTCATCAAATCTAAACTCTGGTAGCCTGAAGCTCTGCTCCTGTGGCCTCAAGAAGGCAGGGCAGAAGGCAGCAGGCAGGCTCTGGCACCACCTGCCTTGCTCTCTCCTCCCACAGCAGCCTGGCTCCTTATCCCCATGAGAGGGGCACAATCCAGCAAAAGCCATCACGAGCCCCCTCCTCTGCTTGGCCCTCTAGGGTGTGAAGAGTCAGCAGGGACACCCTTCCCATTCCCGCCGGGGCCATCTGCACTCAATTATAAGCCCCTTGGAAGCCAGCAGAGGGCTGTTTAGCTGCTGCTGGTTCTCTATGATTAGTTTGTTCTTGCTTTCTGAATATTACGTATGGTGCAGCCAGCTGTGGGAAGCATTCTCAATGCAAGACTTTTTCTCTGCAAAAGAAAAGTGCTAAGCCAGTTGTTATTACTATTGGGAAGAAGGAAAAAAAAAAAGTTTAAAAGTTTTACTTTCAGGGTAAGTGCCCTTCTCCACATTATGATTCCACCTCTTCCCAGGACTGGATCATTCCTTTAATTTCTACCATCACATAGGGACTTGCTTGCTGCAAACGGGCCTTGCTAATACCGAGTATGTAATTCCAGCTCATGTATGATCCATTGCCCAGTGACCTATTCTTTCTGCCTTATTGTGTGTGAGCCTGGATGTTAACAAGGCTCCATTCTACAGACCCAACTCTCTAATCAACTCAAGAGTCAGGGCCAACCACCCAGGCTCACCTTTTTCCCAGATGCTGAGCCAAGAACAAAAGCAATACCATATTGTTCGCACTTGAAACCTCCAGTGTTCTCCGTGGCTGGGCTGCATTGTAAGCCAGCATTAAAATCCTAGGGGCACTTACTAAATGCATATTCCTGGAGCTACATTATGGAGGGGAGGACTTGAAATGCATGAGTGGAGATGCCGAGAAGTTGGGCGATTTTGGAGTCTTGTGAATAGTGATAATCAAAGCCAGGAGATTAACTACAATTCAAAAGGAAAAGAATGTGGAAACAGAAGATGGGGTAATCATAGTTCCTTCTTCCTCATCTCTCTGAACTAGGCAAATAAGCTCATTTCTTTTCTCATAATATGCAGTCTCTATGGTAAACAGCAGCATGGCAATAACCACAGGGCACATCTGTGGATATAAAGAGTTCTTTGTAGCAGGAGTTTGGTTCGCTTATGCTGATCTGGAATTCAGGAACCCATCTATGGAATGGAATGAATGGTTCTACTTAACCATGATGAGGAAAGAAATAAAAATGCCTACTTAAATATTTAGCAGGATGACTACCCCAAAAGTGATGTTTTTTTGATAAGAAATTTTAAGTGTGTCCAAATAGAAGAAAATCTTTATCTATTATGGGCCATTACATTGAAGATAATGGGAAGCAGCTTTCTCACTGTCTGAGAAGAGGGTGGTTACAAGCATAGACAGGGAGAAAAAGAGAAAAAAGCCTATGGTGTTGGAATAGAATTGGAGGTATTAGTGTGAAGCCATAGTTTTCAATATACAGATATACAAATAAATTTAGATGTTAATGTGTGCACATTTTGGTGTATATGTATATGTATATATGTACATACATGCATATATTTGCAAGCTCTGAGGATTGGGACCACAATAGTAATGAACCCACCTAGCACCCAAACCTTAGGTTTTAAAATAGTTTTCCCCTAAAAGAAATTAAAGCTGGCGTACAAAAGTACAAGATGAACCTGCAATGTCTTATATCAGAAAGTAAAGAAATATCCAACATACAACTGGAGACATGTCAAAGGACACAGGACACTGAGTTTATGTTAATGGTGATGGAATGATTTGGAAAAGGATAGCAAGAATGGTTGCAAAGCTTGAAAAATGTAATCAATGTCACTGAATTGCATGTGGTATTTGTTGAAATGGTATATACTTTGTTATGAGTATTTTCACTACACACACACACACACACACACAAAGTAAAAGAAAAAAGACACAGAAGCCAGCTTGAAGGCATTTCCACTGACAATATCTGAGACCACTTTAGCAACTAAACAAATAATGATAGTCATGGATTTTAACCCATTAAATTAAAAAAGAAACTACGAATTCATACTGATATAAATTAGTAAATGATGGGAAAAAGAGTAACTTTATAGTGGAGAAGGTTGGCAAACACTACCTTAAGCAAGTGATCAAAGCTAACATTATCAGTAATGGGACAAACTGAAAGCCTGTGCCACCTGACGGGATGCACTGAGAACAAAGCATCACTTCTGTGATGCTCCTGCATGAGATGCGCAACTTAAATTTAATCGTGAAGAAACGCCACCCTCCAAAATAACTCACCTTTAATCTTCAACGTGTCCAGGTCATAAATGCCAATGAGAAACTGAGGTACTAGTCTACAACAAAGGTTTTTAAGAGATATGACAACTTAATAAAAAAAGAGATATGACAACTGCAGCAATACATATTTCCGAACTGCTTCCTTTTGCTATATGGGGATATTTGGCAGAACTGGGATGGAGTCCAAAGATTACATGGTAGTAAGGTATAAATGGCAATTTCCTGATTTTGATGGTTGTATTGTGGTTATAAGGAGCTCTGGTGGAGTAGTGCCTAAGGCATTTGACTGCTAACCAGATAGCTGGTGGTTCAAACCCACCAGCCACTCCTTGGAAGGAAGACTGGCAATCTACTTCCATAGTGATACCACCTTGGAAACCCAAGGAGGGGTCGCTATGAGTCTGATCTGACTTGACACCAGTGAGTTTGGTTTTTTTGGTATTGTGGTTACATAGGTTGAGTGTCCTTGTTTATAGAAAACACACTCTAAAGTACTTGAGGGTGAAAGGCCCATCAGGTCCATAATTTACTCTCAAATGGTTCAGGAAGCATAAGGGACTTTGTTCTGTACCTATAATTTTTTCCATTTTTGAGAATATTTCAAAATAATTGTTTGGGAAAGTGTTCATTTAAAACAACTTCCTCTTCACCCATCAGGCCTGGAACTGGACTCACTCCTGTGGCTAACTTTTAACCAAATAGATAGGCCTGTAAGTTGAACAATTACATCAGGGAGACACTCTCTCTAGATCAACCACGGGAGATCAGAAGGGCAACACTTGCACAGGGAAAAAGCCAGGGAGGTAGGAATGCATAGGCAAAAAAGGACACAGGGAAAGGGTGACCACAGGGAAGAAATGAGAGGAGAGCTGTTACATTGTGGGGATTGTAATCAGTGTCACAAATCAAAATGTGTCTGAACTGCTGAATGTAAAAGGAATCTGCTTTGTAAAATATCACCCAAATCACAACGTTGTTGTTGTTAGATGCCATCGAGTCATCTCCAACGCATAGTGGCCCCATGCAAAGCAGAACGAAACACTGCCTGATCCTGTGCCAGCTCCGCAATCCTTGCTATACTTGAGCCCACTGCTGCAGCCACTGTGACAAACCTTCTCGTTGAGGGCCTTCCCCTCTTTTGTCGACCCTCCACCTTACCAAGCATGACATCCTTCTCCAGGGAATGGTCCCTTCTGACAACATGACCAAAGTAGGTGAGATGAAGTCTGGCCATTCTTGCTTCCAAGGAGCATTCTGGCTACACTTCCTCCAGGACAGATTTGTATAAAAAGTTTAAAAAAACAAACCCAACAACTTCCTCTTCACTTTTATCTATTAAATGACTCCAAAAATGGCTGTAGTAATGATTAAAACACTGTTGAAGATAGATGTAAAGAGTGTGAAATTAGTCCTTGAAACGTTAGGGTAGAAATTAATGTTATTTTATGTAACATGATTATTAAGTGTGTATTTTAAACTCAATTAAAACATTTACTATTAATATTATTATTGCTCAAATAATTATTATTACTAATCAGTGAGTGAATATATTTTTAATGGCTGGATTAAAATATTTAAGATTTTTTTTAAAAAAAAAGCTTGACTGGGGGTTATATAAAACAGTTCTGCGAAACCTGCTGTGATCCAAAATTAAGACAAATATTCAGCAGCAAGAAGTATTCCAATTTCTCATAACCAATTCTCACAAGCAATGACGTGTACACCTTATTTTAAGAAACTGTCAGGTGAAATCATAATAAAAGAATTTATAGCTCACAAAAAGATTCATAAACAGAAGTTTCTTCCATTAACGTCTTAGAGTCCTTCTAGCCTCTTCTTGACTTTAAAACATGTGATTTACTGAAATTTGGCTTACATTTAACTTGCCAGAACATATGACCTGAAAAGAAGTAAATGTAACACTGACACTGCCTGGTGTCTTTTATTATTATTATTTTTTAATCAATTCAATTCTTGTATTAATCATCAGAATTGGGTCCAAAGGGCACAGAATCGAGCATTATGTATCATGTCAATGCTGTATCCGGTCCAATAAAGTTTCATTTTTCTCCAGTAATAAAGAGGTGGACGTTCTTTATGGACTGCAGCATCTGTGCTGCCCGCTCCACACCAACCACAGCAGCTAGCCTTTGGGCATCGTACTTGCAGTAGAGAACAGTGCAGGTCCATGTGGCTTCCTCTCCTCTGATGGTGGCTCTTAGCATGTTACAAATTTCACTGTAGAAATGGGGGTATGTTGGCAGTTCATAGAAAATCAGGTTCCTAATGCCTTTTATTGTATACCTGTCAGAATGGGAGAGATGGAGAGGATATAACCACTTGAGAAATGATTTTGTGGAAAAGTGACCTAAGAGTTCTACAGAGGCTGAGTTCACTCTGGCTGCTTCATGCTAATGGAAGAAAACAGTAGCACAAATAACAGATAAGCCAAAGGATATTCTAAGGAACCCTGGTGGTACAATGATTCAGCGCTCACTGCTAATGGAAAGGTTGGTGGTTCAAACCTACCCAGCAGTTCCACAGGAGAAAGACCTGATGATTTTCTTCCTTGGGGATTACACCTTAGAAAACCATAGGGGAGGCAGTTTTACTCTGTCACATGGAGTCACTATGAGTTGGAAACTGACTTGATGTCACCAAACAAAACAACATTCTAACTTGAGCCTGGAGAGTTGATTTTTGTGCCAACTTGAGCCTCAAGGGCTGATTTTAGAAACTTTTTTCTAATTGTGATTTGGGTGAAAGTTTACAGAGCAAATTCACTTTCCATACAACAGTTCACTTACACTTTGTCTGATGATATTGACAATTTATCCCAATATAACACCTTCCCTCCCACTTCCTTCCAATAGTTACCTCTTTCCTGTGTCCATCCCTCCATGCACTCCTGCCCCTTGAACTGTCTCCCTATGCATAAACAGCCCTTCTTTCTCCCATGATTGTTCTCTCCAAGGGATGTATCTACCTCAGGTACATATTCAACTCTTATGCCTATCTTTTATTTGGCTGGAAGCCACAGGTGTGAGTTCAATTCGAGATCTGAAGGGAAGCCAGGGATCAAGTCTCAGTGGTTCCATCAGGCTCTATTGGACCAGCAAACCTGGTCTGCTTTTTTTTTCGCCCCCAAATGATTTTGAGTTTTGTTCCACATTGTTCTCCCTCTCTATCCAGGATCTCCTACAAAGATCCCCCTCTGAGTGGTTGACAGTAGTAGCCAGGCACCATCTAGTTACTCTGGTCTCATAGTTGTATAGGCTGAGAATCGCATGGTGTGCCAGTTGCTAGGACTAATTATTTCCACAAATCTTTGTTTTTCTTCATTCTTCTTTGCTCTGGATGAGGAGACCCATCATTGCATATAGATGGCTGCTTGCAAGCTTTTAAGATCCCAGTCACTACTCACCAAAGTAGGAGGTGGAACAATGTTTTGTGTAGTATGTTATGCCAATTGAGCTTGATGTCCCCTGTGACTATGGTCCTGAGCTCACAGGTTCAACTACTCGGTCCTTCTGGGTAGCTGGCTGTGACCAAGAAGTGACTACAATCTTGTCACAAGAGCTGATTTTTGTGCCAACTTACTTGCTTTCCTAATGTTTGGCTTAAGATAATAAGATAAATTTGCATTTCTTGAGCTTATTCTGGGTAGGCTGAGGTAGGGTGGGAAAGAACAGTGGACCAGGATTAAAAATCTGTCATAGAAAATTTAAGAAGTGGGTCATTACAATGGAACATTATCCTTATTATAAAATCAACCAAACCCATTGCTGTCAAGTTGATTCTGACTCATAGCGTCTCTATAGGACAGAGAAGAAGTGCCCCATAGCACTTCCAATGCTGTAATCTGTATAACAGCAGATTGCCACATCTTTCTCCTGTGGAGTTCAAACTGTAGACCTTTAGGTTAGCAGCTGAGTGTGTGATCACTGCACCACCAAGGCTCCTTATCTTTATTATAATCAGGCAAAACAGAATGTTCTGTAATGGACAGGAGGTCTGATGAAGTACATAAAATAAACTGCATAAACTGTAAATGCATTCCCATTAGTCTTTTCTTGTCACTGCAGACATGTTAACTCCATGGCAGATGTCTCAAGTTCATCCATTTACAAAATCCTGCCTAAGGACCCATTAAGCATTATGGGAAAGCAATTAGTTGCAACAGCTTCTGCATTTCCACCTCCTCTCTGCTGCACAGTGCTGCACGGTGGTGGGATAGGGGTGCAGACCCTAGGGATTCACCATATGGTTGGGGTTGAGGTCAAGCATACCCTCTGGTACTCTGTAACAAAGATTTTATACATCCATGAGGTTCTGATTTTTCCTGTTAAGACTCTCTCCTACATTATCAATGTAGGAGAATTTTATTTTCCCCAGAGAATTTATCTATAGAGGATAAGCTTTCTTTTTTTATCCCATGGCTGATGCTGATCTCTCTAGAGACCCTTCTCTTCCAAACTATAATAGCTGCAATCTATTACTTGGTTCATCTTTCAGTATCACCTCTCCATAAGAAGGAATTCTAATGCCTAATTAACTTGAATAAAATCATCTACTCACTATTTATCAAAACAAACAAACAAACAAACAAAAAAACACATTAGGAGTTCTGCTTTTGATTAGTATGTAAAAAATTAAAGAGATTATCATTCCTATGCTAACAACAAGAAAAAGCTGGGTAATACACAAAACTATTCTTTTTTTTGTGCCCAAAGAGCTGATGTCTGGGGCAATCCAGTGAACTGAATTCAGTGGGGTGCTGGTGTATGTTGAATAACAACCTATTCTCAGTGAGGACAAACGGCTGCTGATTTGAAGCATTTGCCAATTTCTATGATACAAATACTCCTACAATGGCCAATGTCAAACTACCAATGTGGTGTTACTGAGCAGAGCACTGGGAAGAGACCTGCAACACCATTTGTGAGCCCATATGAGGCAGTTTCAGCTCACAGCTGGCTGAATTCCAGAGGCGGTGTCACTACAGAAGTAGAGTGCCCAACCTTCCATCCGAGGAGCAGCTGGTGGGTTTGAACTGCCAGCCTTCTGGTTAGCAGTCAAATGCCTTAGGCACTATGCTACCAGAGCTCCCTGAAGAAAGACAGCACACACAAACTACCTCACCTTCAACAGAGCATGGAAGGAAGTGAGCAGCTCCCAAAAAGCAAGTACGAAGGAAAGAGCTATACATTTAACAAATTCTTAAAGGGCAAGTGTCGGCCAGTGTGACAGTTCAGAATCCCTGGGAGCCCTGGACTGTCTGTAGTTCACATTCACTCACAAAGTCTTTTCCATGGGCCTCCACCAGAAGCTGTGGAGAAGATGGAGGAAAGACAGACTTGAGAAAGCCCTCCTTAGTGGTGCAGAGACATGAAACCCTACCCACCTCCTTATTCATCTCTTAAAACTGAAGCAAAAGCCTGGAATCACTGACAGCGGGGCAGAAACATACTGTTGCCTTCATTCCCAGACAAAGTTAAATGGCTAGTGGGAGGAAGATGAGCAAAAGCAAAAGCCATCTGCCCCCAAGGCAGGGCGGTAAACCCCTGACCCAACATGCCATGAGACTTGTGCCCAGTTAAAACCAAGAGCACTCTGCCCTTGGGAAAAGGGCAGTAAACCTTTTCAGCCAAAGATCCTTCAATGATACAAGTAGAGATCTATCACCATTGGGTGGAGGCAGGAAACACTCTTCCACCAACACTCCCACATACACAAGGTACAGTTTGGCTGCCATGGAGGGGGTACAGGGGAAGGAGCCCTAAAAAGTCCCACCTCCAAAGCCTAGAATGAACAAAACCTGCCTAAACTTGATCAGGAGAAGTACCCCCCACCTCTACCCCAAGCTTGGGAAGGAGTAACAAGCAACAAAAGCCTGATGCTGGGGAAGGAACAAGAGTGTGGAGAGAGATCCACCTCTGTGTCACAGGTGTACAGGGCTTGCTGAGAACTGAGAAAAGATCAAGAACACCAAGAAAAGCCTTCCACCTAAACCCACTAAACTTCCCATACTAACCCCACTGTCCAGTGGAGGAATTTGGAGTCTGTAATATATGGAAGGTAACTACAGCAGCAACAAAATACAAACCCAGCTCAATATCTGACTCAACTTCCACACTAGTAACCTGACAGAGGAGAATGTGCACCCATTTCTGGGTGTAAGTACCCTTTCCCTTAGTCTCTACACTGTTAGGCATTCAATCAAAAATTACAAGGAACATAAACATAAACAAGGAAAAAAAAAAAAGACATTAAAACAATAAAATCTTACCTATCAAGTCACTGGCAACAATTTGACTTGCAGGGTTTTTGCAACAATGGATCATTTTCACACACTGCCTATGGAGTATAAATTATTACCTGTGTGTACTTTTTGGAAGAAGATATAGAAAAGATGGGAAGGAACAAATAAGTGGCAATGGATCAAATTTTTGGTTGTGTACAGCCTTTTGAGCAAACAGGTTTTCTACTCAAAGTGCATGCTAAGAAAATAATTAGGCAATGATACCATCAAAATGTATGTATAAGGACATACATTATTGTATGTAATACCAGAAAATAAAAAATCTATATGACCATTAAAAAAAATGGGTTAATTATATAGCCATACAATGTAATCATTAAAAAGTATGTGATGTACACCCACAGAGATTACTTATTAATTATGAGAAAAAATCCCTTTAGATGGAGAGATGTAGCAGAGCCACCTTGACCAAGAGAATAAATTCTGCATCACCAAAACCTGGACAAACTGGCACTAGGTGCCCCTTGAGAGATTCAGTGGAAAGCACATAATATCCTTTATTTAGAATTTGTATCAAAACAACTGTTTGGAAATCTCAATCAGTGGTTCCCAAACTTTTTTCCACACTGGAATCACCACTCTTCCCCTTTTTAAAATATCTATGCTTGGCCCACATCTCCAGACATTTTGATTTATTGGCACAGAGCGCAACCTGAGCATCTGGATTTTTTAAAGCTCCCAAGAGGCATTCTAATGTACAGCAAAGTTTGGGAACCATTGATCTAAATAATAAGGAAACCATAAAACAAATATGGACTGTGGGACATCCCATAGGAAACCAGGTTGAACTCTTTAAAAAAGTGTCAAAGTTGAGACTTCCGGTAAGATGGTGGAACAGGCAGACAAACTACACAGACCCTCTTCAACAAAGACAAACAAATTGGCACAGATATAGAAGATAATTCTGGAGCCCGGAGCTTTGACAGGAAGAATAGAGACGTAGATTAAACACCAACTATTAGAAGAACCTGAATAAAAACAG